TTTCAAAGCAACAATACACATACATACAGTGGTATTCTTCTTCTTCTCTGATAACTGATCAAATTCATACCTGAATGCAGTGTTAAGTCAATTGCATACAAATGTAAATGATTAGTATTAGGCCCCTATGTGTGTATTGTTAGTTAGACAATATTATATGTAACATAGACATGTCAATAAAATGATAAAAATTGAGAGGGAAACTGAGAGGTGGTTTCTGGTGGCCACCACCAAAATAAATGATCCATAAGAGGTGCCTCAGCTCTTGAGCTCTGGAGAGGCCGAGGCAAGGTTTGGAACCATCTCTCTCCTCTGGATGAGAATTCCAGAAAGTTCTAATGCTGACACTGATGGTTCCATAGCCACACAGCGAGAGAGTACAATAGCAGATGAGTTTTGAGTAAGTCTGTTCAGGGATGGAGCCGGGGAGACAGCATCCAGGAAAGAGCGCTTATGTCATTAGGACTTGTGTGAGGCAATGTTGTGAGCCGTCACCATGGTTGCCTGATGAATGATGAAAAATGTAAAAATAGCAGGCACTACCCAAGTCCTTCCAAAAGCAAGCTTTCTCAATGCACTGTGGAAGAAGTGTGAGGTGGCAAAAGGAGAATAGGAAAGAGAGAGAGGAGATTAAAGAATGGCTAATGTGCTGGAGAAGATCTTCAATCCGGTCTAGCTGTTTTTGTCAGAAAACTGAAATTCCTGAATGTCACAAGAGATCCCCTGAAAATCCAATTTGGGAATTCTCAGAGGTCTCTTTTTCAATATCTTTTAGTGATGATATGACAAATCTGTAAACATTTATGTGATGTTTGCGGGGAGATGGGGAGAAGGTACGGGCTATGCCTTTTTTTTTTCTTTCTTTTTTCTCAATGCGATTTTAATTATGCCATGCAATGTATCGGTATGAATTGTCATTTGTGAGAATTATGCCCACTTGCTTTGCACATAAATTTGATTTGCTGTTGGGCTATTGGCACTGCTTACCACTGCTGTGATACTATTATATTAATCTTAATGCTGCGAGGAAAAAAAAGTTCTCTTAAAGTTTGAGAATAGTTTTGGAAGAGCACAATTAACTGTTTTTAGGTTTTCTAAACACTCTCCTTTTCTGCCATAGACATGCTGATTGTTTAGCTGATGAAACATCTTTACAAAAAAATCAGAATTAGATTAATTGGCAAGTGTGCTTACATACATAAGGAACTTGTCTAAACGAGGTATAAAAAAAAAACTCCATAACAGTTTTGAAAGCTGTGTTGTGCAAATTATGTGACCTATGACCTTTATACAGTGGATGTCATTGTAAAGACTGTAAGTCTATCACTCTCAGCCTCGTTTTCATCTGCGTTATATTCAATATGTCATCTAACCTGACTAAAGTCTATTGGTTGGCTAAATCGATAGCTCCGCCATTGTTTGTGCCTTGTTGCTGTGGCAGACGGCTCAAAATAGCAATGAGAAGTCTGAATCGTTGACATGAATTGGCTGTTTTGAATGATTTGTTTCAATGAATCATTCTCAAATAACAGATTCATTGGTTCTTTTTACGTCATCACTTATAGTGATGTCATTATTACGTAATTTTTCACACCACCAAACTCAGCGTTGGTGCCATTAGCAATTTGAGCAATGTTTTGAAAGCACCACAAAGCCACACAATTTGCTTACCTAAAGTTGCATATTAAGCTGAGTTAGTAGGAAGTATTATCTAAATTTTACAAAAAAAGACCTTTAAGACACTGTTCACAAAACGAGTCTGACAGAGATCTTCTCAGCCAGTATCTGTTACCAAACCTCTGCCCCTGCCAAGCTGCCAGCATGTAACCGGAGGATTTGTGTCTCCTCCAGGGAGAGATGTGGGCACGCCCTCTCACCAGAATGATTAAGCCACAGGTCTGCCCTTTCTCAAAAAGGTCACGGCTCTGACGGCTCTTTGACTTGTCAGACAGCTGGCACAGGTTGCACTGACAGTGCTGAGAAAGAGAGACTTATGCCCACCACTAATGTGTGTGTTTACAAAACATCAGCATGTATCACTGCATATAATTCTTGCTGAATAAATGGCAGTAATGCAGCACTTATCTTTGGTTTCTTCTTATCTGAGCCTACCAGATATATTTTGATCCTGTTTGTTAAGAGGGTGGTGGTGTAGCTTGGGCAGAGAAAACTGGTTGTCAACAACAACCACACACCAAATCTCTCTTAAACCGCTCTCAGTGCAGTTCATAACCTTTTAATTGCAACCTAGCAAATCAAATATTATTATTCACACCTTTTTGTTCCATTTTTGTCCATCTCTTTCAGAGTAAACAAGTGTGTTGGATTTTTATTTTTTTTTTAATAAATGAATTAGCAAGTCTGATTCACTGATTCCCACACTGTTACCAGTGCATGAAAGCAAACATTCATAATGCGTCTGCCATTTAAATTGTCACTGCATAAATTTAAATAGGTAATTGACTCTTCTGCAATGTAATTACTGCAGACATTACTGTCATGACGCCTACACAAAAGACAACCAATCCCAATGCATTTGCATTTTAGGGGTCTGGCTTGTACAAACCTGTTGTTATAGTCACGAAATGGATTTCTCTCTCAGGATCATAAATAGTTTTTTTTTTTCTACTCATCTGCTATTTATGGCTGTCTAAATAAAGCTTGTATGTGCTTCTCTGACTCTAACTGTTGGTAGCCAACAAAAAGGAATATTATTCAAATACTGAAATGTCTAAAGCGAGCAGCCTTAATGGGATGAAAAAAAAAGTTTATTATGTTATTAATTTTTTGATCCGTTATGATGGATGAGTAATATTTGGCATTTTGAAACAGAACGCAAAAAAAAACAAAAAACTCCAAACAGAGTTTCGGTCAGCAGTTCGTGTTCATACCACCCATTTGAATATATTTCCATATATGTGCAAAAATGTGATAGACAGCTGAGACTTAATGATCATATTTTGGTCAAGCTTGCAGGGCTTTTCCAAAATCCATGACGCAAATCCAAAAAAAACGTTAGAAAGAAGGAATCTAAGGCATTGTTAAAAAGAAATTCCCGTCTCTCATCACATTATCAACATGATGTAAGATCAGATCGCATATAGACTTTTAAGGAAAAACTAAAGCTACAGTGTAAAAAATTATCTTTTGAAGTTGTAAATAAAACATTTAACACTAACATAAAAGATTATTGGAGTATGTTTTACAAGAAAATACTATTTCAGTGCTGTTTTTGTAATTAATTGTGAAAATTGTTTCTACACCATTTTTTTTTCAATGTATCTGAATTAAGAACTGGTAACACATTTAGTTCACATTATACAGTTTTATTGAATCTTGTTTTCATAGCAGGACATGTGAGATTAATTTTCCAGTAGCTCCGTTTTACACTGAAGATTGAAGGTTTTTGACCTGTGCATTCTTGTGTTATATTTCAGAGGCACTTTTTTAAAATTATAATTTTGCACCTTTTCTACAAATGGTTGAATTTGGTGAATTGATGCAATGCATCAAAGCCATTTGTCCCATTGTGATCTACCTGCAGTAACATCTCCTTGGAGCTAGAGGGAGCTACTGCAACAGATTACATTGACCACATGCTTGCCGTTGGACTCAATCTAAATAGAATTATTAATAAATCATTGGCATATGTACAGCACTGTAGTGTGACAGGAAATGTGAATGATATATGGCCCATTACCATCTACAGACATAACATCCATAGATATACATACTTTAAAATAAGAGGTAAATATATAGGTCACAGTATTATTCACAGAAAGGGAGTGGAATAATATTGTTGGATGTCTGTGTGACATAAACCCAAGATGTTGTAATAGTGGCACTGAATATTGTTTTATATAATTAACATCCATTTACTTTGAAAACATGATAATTATTAGGAGAATGATGATGTAATGAGTAACATTATTATTGCTTGATGTGCTTGACCCAGTTGTTTGATATTAGTGACAAAACATTACAGTTGGTTGGTCATATCATACAAATATTGTGAAACAACATATTTGTGTTTATTAGTCATGTAGTCGCAGTATTTTCCCAGTTCAGTCTGCTGTACTCATTTCAGTCTAAGTCTCAGGAAAACCAAAGCTTACAAAGTCAGACCGCAGTCAGTCTAAATTAGAGCGTCTGTTTCAGACTCCACCCATCAACCCACTGATTCAACATACTGCCCAGCCTGCCTGCAAAATGCTCTTATTTCCTCCCCCTGTGACTTTCATTTAAAATGTTCACTGCACAAATGTACAGTTTTACAAACTGTTTAAGGTTTAAATTGCAGCAGCTTTAGTTTTTAGGTAAAATAAAAGTGGTGCCACAGTGAAAACCTGTGATGTGTGTTTTGAATTTAAATGTAATTATTGATGAAGAAAAATTAGCTGAAACTCCAGAAATACGTAGAATTGAAATAACAAAATGGATGGAAACAAAGATGCTGATATACCATAATGATGGATCTTAATTTTCAATTTAATATACCTACGGCAAAAGCTATACATCTGCGTTATTTATTATTATTCACACACACACACACACATATATATATATATATATATATATATGTATGTATTATTCAATATTATTAACTTGCCTATTTATTTTTTGTGTTGTCTTTTTTTAACATTTTAAGAACTGTGTAGGCTTTGGCAGTATTGTAAATGATGGCAATTATGCCTGTAAAGCTTTAATAAGTCAGTTAATAAATTAAATAATAGAATAATGTGATAAATTTATATGAAGTTTACAAATAAGACCTTAATAAACAAAAAGTAAAAAAAAAAAAAGTTATAGTAAAGTAAAGTGATATTTTTAAGTACAGTGACTGTCTCTACAGCAGTGGGGAGTGAAGGCTGGTTCTTGGAAGAGCCACAGCCTGCAGAGTCAGTCACATTCTTGGCTGGGATTCAATGACTGAGCCAGACACACACAAACACTGAGCGAGAGAGAGACAGAGAGAGAGAGAGAGAGAGAGGCTGTGCGCTCACTGACTCAGTCACACTGAACTGCAGGGGCAGAGGAGCGGAGGCGACGCGCCGTGTCCGGCTGCAGCGATCTCTACTCTCAGGGAAAAATACGGATTTAAAGTTGGCGGATTGTGTATTTGACTCCTGAATTTGACGTGGGACAAGTTCGGCTCCCCCGTGGGATAGTTTTGCTGCATCTTGCGTGCTTTTGCTTGTGTTACACTTTAGTTTTCTGTACGCGTCTGTCTGTGGATATGGACAGGAGAGAGCCCGCTGCAGGGGAAGAAGACACGCCGGTGGAAACCTTCGTCTGAGTGGGGATTTGATGAAGCCCTGTCGGCCTTCTTGTGCTTGTTTTCACAGACTTGGATTTAGAGACGCGGAACCAGGATCTTTGAGTCGTATTTCTCGCCAGACGCTCGGTTTCAACGACAACGCGGTGCGCGAAACATGGAAACAGTAGCGCGACAGAGTTTCCAGCCTCACCCGGGACTGCAACAAACTCTCAAACAGTTTCACCTGAGCTCCATCACCTCTCTCGGAGGACCGGCCGCTTTCTCGGCCAGATGGCAACACGACCTACTCTTCAAGAAGGACGGCAAAGACGTCCCGGAGCCCGTGCTGCACCTCCCCCCCATGCAGCCTGCTCCGGTGATGCCCGGGCCGCTCTTCATCCCGTCCGACCGCTCCACCGAGAGGTGCGAGACGGTCCTGGAGGGCGAGACGATCTCGTGCTTCGTGGTGGGCGGCGAGAAGCGCCTGTGCCTGCCGCAGATCCTCAACACGGTGCTGCGGGATTTCTCGCTCCAGCAGATCAACTCGGTGTGCGACGACCTGCACATCTACTGCTCGCGCTGCACCGCCGACCAACTGGAGATCCTGAAGGTGATGGGCATCCTGCCGTTCTCCGCGCCCTCCTGCGGACTCATCACCAAGACAGACGCGGAGCGCCTAGGAAACGCGCTCATCTATGGGGGGACGTACCCGCCGCACTCCAAGAAGGAGCTGTACGGCTCCATCGAGCTGGAACTCACCGAGAAGAGCTTCAAGATCTATCACGAGTGCTTCGGGAAGTGTAAGGGTCTGCTGGTCCCGGAGCTCTACACGAGTCCCAACGCGCCCTGCATCCAGTGCATGGACTGCAGGCTCATGTACCCGACCCAGAAATTCGTGGTGCACAGTCACAAATCGCTGGAGAACAGGACTTGCCATTGGGGCTTTGACTCGGCCAACTGGAGGGCGTATGTCCTCCTGAGCCCGGATTACACGGGGAAAGAGGAGAAAGCGCGTCTGGAGCAGCTCCTGGATGACATAAAGGAGAAATTTGATTTCGCCAATAAATACAAGCGGAAAGCATCACGGGTGAGCTAGTTTTTTACATTTTGCGCTGCATCAAGATGAACTCTTTAAGTTTTGTTCTAGTGTACTGCAAATTTCAGATGTCCATGACAAGCCGTTTAATCTCTTTAAACTAACTAGTTTCTGTGTTACTAGTTGCTGCCTAGTATAGCCAATAATATAGCCAATAACCATCTAATAACCATCTTTTCCAATTTCATTAATAACTTTTCATTACAAACATATTCTGTAGTAACTATAGATTAGTCCTAAGTATCAAGTAATTGATTGCAAACTAGTATAGTGGCAAACAATTTTGCATCTTTGCTTCAGATACCAGCTATTCACTTCCAACCAGTATGTTTTCCCATTCTTACTGGCACCTATTTCAGTTTTACTAACTATTCATGATGTATTGATATAAATTTTAATTACTTACAGTAATCCAAATATAAGTATCAGATGCATAAAAATAGATATTGTTAAAATGGCTTGCCGTAGTTGTCTTCAGATGAATGCTTGGAGATAGGCCAAGGGTGTCAGTTCTTTGATGACGCAAACTTCAGACTCAACAGTAAGTAGTTATTTGGCAGACGTACAGTGCACTTCTTATAGGGACAGTACTCTTGGCACAACCTGAGGTTAAGTGCTCTGGGGCACTGTGGCGATGTCCATGAATCACCTCTGCTGGTATTGAAGCAACAGTCTTAAAGTTGGCAGACGAGATGTTTAAACCGCTAAGCCCCACCACCAGGGTGAAATTTGTATGTCTTAGGTTTTGCGCTGGCATATTCCAAGTAGCATCAGCTTCCCTCCTTAGATGAGTGCTTGGAAAAGGGCCAAGAGTGTCAGTTCTTTGGTGACCCAGTCTTCAGACTCCAGAGACTATCATGATATTGGTTTCCCAGTCCAAATGTTACAACCTGATATCCGGGAGAGGGGTGAGATGTGGAATCTGTGGGCGGACGTTGAGATAGAGTAGCTGTCACAGTGGCCTAAATTTAATGGCATGAAATATTTAACTTGAGCAGACCGATGCAAAAAAATCACAGATAGCATTTCTAGGTGATTTCTGCTTGTCCACATGCTGCATTTAATTGACCAGTAACTAACCCTCAGTGTCATGACCTCTGTCCCGTTGGCCTTTACTGTAGATACAGTGCTGAGTGTGTAAACAAACAATCATTTAGAGCCATTAAAGGCCAGGGCGCTTAGTCCTCATCTCTCTCTCTCTCTCTCTCTCTCTCGCTCTCTCTGTCTAGTGCTTGTTTTTTATCATCTCTTTACTCCATCTGTCTCTCTCAAGCCCAGCATGACTTCCACATGTCCCACGGCAATGGCGTCATGTTATGGTAATTCCAAAATGGGTCATTTAGCTATCACAGGTACTTGACAGTGGATGTGTTTTTAATGATCGGGCCATTCAGGGTTTAATCACAATACTGCTGAGGGAAAAACATGCTCTCCGAGCTGCACTCCAACCAAGTTTGCTGCTTAAATATGCATCATAAAGTTCATTTCGGGTTATTTTTAGAAGGAATAATCCGATAAAGCAGTCTCAGGCTGATTGTTTTATGTTTATCTGCATTGGGTTGTCTCCAGTCTCGGGTTACTCGCATGTGTGGCGGCTCTTCTTACCCTTGGGGCTCTAATGCTTGACTCTTGCACCAGACAGGTTCCTGTTTGTGAGGTAGAGGTTTAGAGGAAAAGTTTTTTAGTAGTGTGCCCCCCTCCAATACACACACACACACACACATAAACACTCAGTGAATGGCAGGCCTGGCCATTTGCATTAACTGTTTTCCCTGAATGGAGCTGATGATGCAGGGATTGGAGTATTGTGGTGGAAACGGAATATGAACCAACAAAGAGGTGCATTCACCAACATCTCCTCCCTCCCATCTCTCTGTGATCAGCCCTCCACCACCTCCCCCACCCACCAGCTCTCACCCACTTACTTTCCTTGTATGAATAGAATGAGAGAATGTAAACCTAGGCCCGCGCTTCAGTGTGTTTACACACATTTGCAGTTTTCTGTTTCTTTTTGCACTGATGATGTGTGTCACAAGTGGTTTGCCGATTGAATGGGTCCTTACGGTGAATGACGTTGCCTCGTTAACATAGAGCTGTTTCCCTCGGTCTCAAGTGAGACCAAAATGTCCTGGAGCTCTCTGCATTATCACATTATCAGACCCCCCACAGCAGGCTTTTATTCCTCTCAAGAGCTTTCCTGCCTCTCACCACACACAAGAGGGAACACTCTCAAAACGTCTGGAAACGGAAGTGGAATATATCTGTATATCCATCTAGAGAGAGGGAGATTCGGTGTATTTTTACATTCGCCCGCCCGCCTGGTCACTCCTTTGCCAGGAAGAGTTGGCGATTTGATATTGATGACTTCATAATGGCTTCCACACAATTTCATCTGCCACTAAGATGTTTGTAGAATAAGACTGAGGCCTGAAATGTAATCGATCCAACTCTATGCAAATACTTTGCAATACGCTAGTTTGATTGTGTCAGTGGGGTCGGAATTTTCAATGTTTTTGAAAAAAATTCAGTAAAAACAGTAATATTGTGAAATATTTTTGCAATTTCAAATAACTGTTTTCTATTTTAATCTATTGTAAAATGCAATTTATTCCTGTGATGGCAAAGCTGAATTTTTAACAGCCATTACTCCAGTCTTCAGTGTCACACAATCTTTCAGAAATCATTCTAATATGCTGATTAGGTGCTTTAGAAACATTTCTTATTATTATCAATTTTGAAATCGATTGTGCTGTTAACATTTTTGTGGAAACAGAGATCATTTCTTTAAGGATTCTTCGATAAATAGAATGTTTAAAAGAATAGCATTTATTTAAAATAGATTTTAGACCGTCACTTTTGGTCAGTTTAATGCATCCTTGCTGAATAAAAGTATTAATTTATTTAAAAAAAATATAGATAATATGCATTTGCAACCTTGCATAACTAGCATACATCTGGCCAATGGATTTCAAATGCACGTGACGTGACAGCTTGAGTTTGTTTTGCCTATATATGCTGTGTTGCTGTCTGGGATGCATATTCTGTGTGATTGTGACAGAGCTGTTTAGTTTTTTTGCTGAGTTATTTACAGATCTTTCTGTTCCTCATCAGTGAAAAGTAGTCTGGCAGTCTCTCTCTCTCACTCTCTCTGTCTCTGGGTGGGGTGAAGGAACTTCCTCTTTCTCTGCTACTTGCTGAGGGAAGGTCACAGACTGTGAAGTTACTCAACCTCCCTCGACATATATATATGTGTGTGTATAAGTGTTTGTGAGTGCGTGACTGTCTGGTGCTTTCAGTCAGCAGCCGGAAGACACCTAAAGACAGGATGTTCTCTGTCCCTTGCTCAGACACACACTTATAATTAAGCGTAAAATGTACCTAGCCATTATGTTTTGTCAAGCTGTCTCAGGTCCACATGCACTGTCTTTTAATATTTTGTGGTGAAAAAAAAATAGTGTTGCGCTTGTCTGAGATCTAGTTCAGAGGGTTCAAAAGAGTTTGGCCGCTTGGTAAACAAGGCTTGAGTTTGCTGATCTGTAGTATACGGGTCCAAAGTGTAAGATTAGGTGTTGAGTTGGCTTCATGAGCTATCATGATTACTTATATACTGATAAAAATGTCTGGACGTAATTGTCAGGAGTGACGCTGAATGATTGGGTGGATTGATTAAGGACGAAATAGCATAAGACTTTGTAAACAAGTGTAGAAAGTGAGTAAATGCCTTTAAATTGACTCAACATTTGAGCCTTCAACTGATTAAAAATGAATTTTTACATGATACACTGATGAATAAATCAAATGAATCACAAATAATCAATATTTGATGAGAAAACGCCAAAATTTAGGTCACTTTTATACACTAATACAGCAGATGAAAACATTAAATGCACAAAAGGGCTTTAGAAGTCAATATGTTGCTTGTTTTATTTCCGTTATATTGAACATAAGTCTATCGTTGGCATATAGACCACAAAAATCTATTTTACAATCAACCTTGTCTATCCGTCTGAGGTAGACTTCACTACAGGATGAGTTTTTGCATTTCGTCTCCACTATTTTTAAATTGTTGCTCAATGTAAATATGTGCTAGATTTTTTACTTATTTGTACTAAATTAATTTTACATTTATAGCCCTATTATAATTGTGTTTTCACATTGAAAGATTTACTTGACAGAATAGTTGGCATTTTCATTTTTCAGAACAGTAAGCACGAGAAATCCCATATCATGAGCATTTCCCACTTAGTCATGCATTTGATTTCCCCCTCTGAGTTTCCTGTTAAATGTGGAGGCATTTTATCAGGGGTTATTTAGAGAGTTTTGGCAGACGGCACGTTCTTGCCGCCAGTGCAGGGAAACCGCAGCTCAGTGACGGGAAGGGAGAGTTGCGACAGTCGCATTCCAGGACCGTCACTCCCAAAGTGCAGTGAGAGACTGATTATGCAAATTGGAGTATGAATGGGCATGAATGAAGCATGCCCTCTCACTCTCTCTTTCACATTCGCTGCGTGTCTGCTGGCACACTTAGACGCACACACACGCACACCTGCTCCGTATCAGAACTCTTCCTCTGCTGACTTCTCGTCTCCTCCACAATCAAGTGTTTTTTTTTTCTTTCTCTCGATCTTTAATTCCCCCCAGGTGCTGGAAGTGGGTAGTAAACCTCTCTAATCATGCAGTCATTAAAGCAGAATTTAACCTCTCTCAGCCTTTGAAGCTGTTTTCTCACTTAATTGTTCGCTCTTTGGAAACAAAGCTACGTAATTTAGTCTAAATCACGCCCTTGAAAACGCTTTTGATGAACACCTTGCGTGTTCATTTTCTTTCTTCCATCCTCCGCATTCGGTTCGGCTGACTTGTGATATTTATTTCGGAGAGAGAGCGTGGCATCTTTCCGACCGCACCCCCCTCCCCCCAACCCCTCCAAGCGCCTCTGAGAATTCTGGGATATCTGATGGAGAACTGAGAGGGTGCAAGAGCTTTGGGAGAGG